CCCCTCCCCCATTCTCACCCCTCCCCCATTCTCACCCCTCCCCCATTCTCACCCCTCCCCCATTCTCCCCCGCCCCTCCCCCACCCGCCCCTCCCCCAGGTTCTGGGCCGGCCTCGGGACCCTCCCCCGCCCTGGGGGCGCCGCGAGGAGGATGAAGAGTTCCGGGCCGAGGAGGAGGAAGGTCAGGGGGGGAGGGGAGGGGGGAGGGGAGGGGAGGGGACGCCCGCACGGGGCAGCTCTTGACACTTTTTGCCATTTTTTACCTTTTTTTTTGGCCATTTTTTACCATTTTTTACCATTTTTTGCCATTTTTTATCCTTTTGGTTCTACTTTTTATCATTTTGGAGCCATTTTTTACCATTTTTGTCCATTTTTTAATCATTTTTTGCCATTTTTTATCATTTTGGTGCTACTTTTTATCATTTTGGAGCCATTTTTTACCATTTCAGTGAAACTTTTTGGCCATTTTTTACCATTTTGGAGCCATTTTTTACCATTTCAGTGAATTTTTTTGGCCGTTTTTTACAATTTTTTACCATTTTTTGCCATTTTTTACCATTTTGGGGCCATTTCTTACCATTTCAGTGAATTTTTTTACCATTTTTTACCATTTTTTGTCATTTTTTATCATTTTGGTGCCATTTTGTGTCATTTTTTACCATTTTTTACCATTTTTCGCCATTTTTTACCATTTTTTGGCATTTTTTACCATTTTTGTGTCATTTTTTACCATTTCGGTAAAATTTTTTGCCATTTTTTACCATTTCTTGTCATTTTTTACCATTTTGGTGCCATTTTTTACAATTTCAGGGATTTTTTTTGGCCATTTTTTACCATTTACCATTTTTTGCCATTTTTTACTATTTTGGTGCCATTTTGATCAATTTGGTGCCATTTTGGTGAATTTTGGTGCCGTTTTTTTCCATTTTTATCCATTTTGCTGCCATTTTTTTCCATTTTTTCCCATTTCGGTGCCATTTTTTCCCATTTTTTGCCATTTTTTCCCATTTCGGTGCCATTTTTCCCCATTTTGGCGCCGTTTTGGTGAATTTTGGTGCCGTTTTGTGGCAGGTGAGGACGAGGAGGACACGATCGCGGCCCAGGAGCGCCTCGAGGGCGACGTCGACCACCAGCAGGAGCTGGACGACCTGGCCAGGGAGGGTAAGGGGCAGGAACACCCAAAATCACCCCAAATCACCCCAAAAATCACCCAAAAATACCCCAAAAATCACCCAAAATCCCCCAGAAAATACAAAACAAACATCACCCAAAATCACTGAAAAATAACCCAAAAAAAATCACCCAAAACCACCAGCAGGAGCTGGACGACCTGGCCAGGGAGGGTAAGGAGCAGGAACACCCAAAATCACCCCAAATCACCCCAAAAATACCCCAAAATCACCCAGAAAATACCCCCAAAAATCACCCAAAGTCACCCAGGAAATATCCCAAAAAATCACCCAGAAAATATCCCAAAAATCACCCAAAGTCACCCAGGAAATACCCCAAAAATCACCCAAAATCACCCATAAAATATCCCAAAAATCACCCAAAATCACCCAGAAAATACCCCCAAAAAATCACCCGAAATCCCCCAGAAAATATCCCAAAAATCACCCAAAATCACCCAAAAATACCCCAAAAAAATCACCCAAAACCACCAGCAGGAGCTGGACGACCTGGCCAGGGAGGGTAAGGGGCAGAAACAGCCAAAATCACCTGAAATCACCCCAAAAATACCCCAAAATCACCCAGGAAATACCCCAAAAAATCACCCAAAGTCACCCAGGAAATATCCCCAAAAATCACCCAGAAAATATCCCAAAATTCCCCAGAAAATACCCCCAAAAAAATCACCCAAAATCCCCTAGAAAATACCCCAAAAAAATCACCCAAAATCACCTAGGAAATATCCCAAAAAATCACCCAGGAAATATCCCAGAAATCACCTCAAAAATACCCCAAAATCACCCAGGAAATACCCCAAAAAAATCAC